AAATCCTCAACCCTCTTAATGTACCCAAGCTTTTAGATTTGGTACGTAAGTATAGCTCTATGGTGTGCGTGAAAAAGCTTTCAGATCTGGTACGTAAGTATAACTGTATGGTGGGCATTGAAATTTGTAACGCTCGAAAATCCACCCTAGAAGACATTACTATCTATAATCATTCATATCATGAAAGCAACTAATGAAATTCATAAATTTAAGAAATTCCATTCGTTATCCATAACAACTAAAACATCATCCAAAATCAATATGTTGAACCATGACAATTATATCCAAAAACTAAATATTATCTTGCAGCAGAATAAATAAAACATTATCCTTGACATTGTCTTATAATTAACCTCCCAGTCTAGAACATAAAAGAAACAACTCTAAACATCCACCTCAATATCCACGTTCCCATCAATTTAAGCTTCCCAATGTACTTGCTCATCCAATCCGAGCTCTTTCTCTAAACCATAATTTGAAAAAGATGTTGTAGGGGGTGAGCACTAAGCTCGGCAAGAAAATCCTCCCAAGCTCGACCAAGGTTTTGAAAGCATATAAAACAGGTTGGTCTTATTTTATAAAATATCATATATATAACTTTCGAAACAAAATAGTGACAGTTCATCAAATCTCAAGTTTATGCAGTAACAATAAATTAAATGAAGAAACAAAATCAATTACCAACAATAAGCCATTTCCAACCATAAACTATTTCCATAACAATAAACAATAATCCACAATTTGTACCATTACGCNAATTATTGAATATATTTTGGAAAAATCAATGAATAAACATATTGTAGAAGCAAAACACTAATTAGGAATTATAATAATTTCATTCTTAAGAGAAAAAATGGATTGATTGCCTACTGAAGAGCATGCAAAAATTGGTATCACCATGAACTGGGTCACGTGGTTCCCGTAAACCTAAAGAGATCCACTCATCGACGTCCCAACACCCACACCATCTTGGTTTCCTCCACCTTGTTCTCCCACATTTAAAAATCCTCAACCCTCTTAATGTACCCAAGCTTTTAGATTTGGTACGTAAGTATAGCTCTATGGTGTGCGTGAAAAAGCTTTCAGATCTGGTACGTAAGTATAACTGTATGGTGGGCATTGAAATTTGTAACGCTCGAAAATCCACCCTAGAAGACATTACTATCTATAATCATTCATATCATGAAAGCAACTAATGAAATTCATAAATTTAAGAAATTCCATTCGTTATCCATAACAACTAAAACATCATCCAAAATCAATATGTTGAACCATGACAATTATATCCAAAAACTAAATATTATCTTGCAGCAGAATAAATAAAACATTATCCTTGACATTGTCTTATAATTAACCTCCCAGTCTAGAACATAAAAGAAACAACTCTAAACATCCACCTCAATATCCACGTTCCCATCAATTTAAGCTTCCCAATGTACTTGCTCATCCAATCCGAGCTCTTTCTCTAAACCATAATTTGAAAAAGATGTTGTAGGGGGTGAGCACTAAGCTCGGCAAGAAAATCCTCCCAAGCTCGACCAAGGTTTTGAAAGCATATAAAACAGGTTGGTCTTATTTTATAAAATATCATATATATAACTTTCGAAACAAAATAGTGACAGTTCATCAAATCTCAAGTTTATGCAGTAACAATAAATTAAATGAAGAAACAAAATCAATTACCAACAATAAGCCATTTCCAACCATAAACTATTTCCATAACAATAAACAATAATCCACAATTTGTACCATTACGCACAATGTATCTCAGGTATGATGTATGACATCGCATGAATAAACACATCGAGAATATCTTGGCCCACACTCACACACCCAATTCTCACAAGGATACACAACTTTAGGAAGGGCGTATACCGACGCATTGGCTGGGACAATCTAATCCAGGAATAGTATACTAACCCTCAGTCTTGATACCACGTGAGCGAATAGTGGTTTGGTCCTCGCAACGCTGTAACCCCACTACGGGTGGTAGGGAACCTTCAAACCCACACGGAGTAAGAAATGTATGTACCCACTCTATGATACCCGGTCAACGGTCACCAATGTTCATCAAAACAATCACACAAGAGATACAATATCAAATCAATTCACCAAATCACTGGTAAACCACGAACCCTAATTCCACATGTAACCAAGAACCATAATTTCACAAGTATTTTTTCAACATAACAACACTAGAAAATATACAAGAGATCATCAAGAAATATAATTTTATTGTTTCAACAAAATACTACAGTTTTTAAATCAAGAACAACGGAAAATCAAGATTAAAATCTATATTTCTTGAAAATTAGGGTTTTGATAAGAAGAACGAGAATCTTTATGACTACCAAACGATAACTTTATTCAAGACATGATATGATTTTCAAGAAAACCAAGAAACAATGATTTCAAAACATACATATATATAAATCCTTGCCTCAATGAACAAGTTTAGGAAGAAATCCCTACCTTGATTCTTGCATCTTGATCCTAATGTGTTTCGTGAGATTACCCCATGTTAATCCTTCAAAGATTTATCCTATTCTTCCTCCTTTTCTTCTCCTCAAATTTTTTTAGGTTTTTTGGGGTTGAAAAATAGGTAAAGACTCTTTAAATCACAGCCCTAGGGTATTTATAGGCTAAAAAATAGAGAATTTCCATGTGGGCGCGGGTAGAAGTCTTCCCCTGACTTCTAGCTCGGTTTTGACCTAGTTAGAGGCCAATTCACGAAATTTTCATGAAATACAATTTTATAGCCTTTGAAGTCTAGTTTTTCTAGTAAAAATTTCAGGTCAATAAAACATCGGCGTGAAAATTTATAGCAAAAATACTGTGGTTATGTCAAATTCCTTTCTACCCAAATCCTCTCCAAAATAGGTTTTAATTCTAGAATATTTCTAAACTTCTAATACAACTCATATAACCTTTTTCAATATTTTTTGAACTTTTGGATTTAATGGAAACCTTATTTTAACGTAAAAATATTTATAAAATTATTATTTAACCACCCGTCTTAAACTTAAACATCTTTAAAACTCAATTTACCCCGAACGTAAATACACACGAAACTCATGCTTTATAATTAATCTTTCAACTATGATTCTAAGTTTTTACCATCATGTTATTCATCTTAATAGAACTATTAAGATAATATTATCCTTCTTTAATTTTAACACGGGGTCTTACAAAATTAGTTTAGGGTTAAAATTGATTTTACACTATAAGAGTTGAGGACAATCTAGGAATTTAAGGAATAACTTAAATGCAAGTTGTTGACTTCGCAAGAAGTGGAAATGGATGGTTTTGTGAAGCTCCTTTTTTTGGCTTTTGTAGACGCTCATTCTAAGGAAGCACTTTTGGTCATAAAGTAAAATATGCGGATTCCAATTTTTGCCAAGAATTCTATATAGGACGCTCGCCAACTGCACAATGTTTAATGGATGCAATGTCTTAGCATCTGTACCCCCCAAAAAAATCAAAGAATTAATGATCCCTTCCCCTAATTTAAATTAGATAGGTGTTTCTACCAAAGTTTCAATGATGGTCAATCCCTAATTCAAGGAAATAAAACGCATGAAGTTGAATTTAGTATGTTCTAATATGATTGACTTTCCCATAGCCTTTGGTATCTAGCAGTTTCAAGCACCTTCAATACATGCTTCTTGGAGCCTTTGTTCATACATCAATTAAAAGTCCAATCCTCATCCCGACAACCAATGCATTTCGAAAAAGGCCTCTTCACCTTTTTTTTATAAGCAAATATGATCTTCTCTTATAGACTCAGAAAAAGATAATGTATGCTATGAAACATAAAGAAAAAATAAAACTTTTGTTTGTGTAATATAAATATGAATGCCTTAAGGTGTGTTGTCATTTGCCTCCATGCAAGTGTCAAAAATATGGTTGAATGTTGGTGTTAGAGTTCTTAATTTTGAGTTTTATATTTATGTAGGGAAATATTGTAATTATCCAATATATTGTTCAATATAAATAAGTTGTAGGGCAACATAGCCTACCTATAGATTATTCTTTCTCTCTCCTTCTTTTGCCTCTTTTTCATTCTTCTTCTCTCTTATAAACTCTCTAATACCATCTTTACAATTTCAACTTGGTATCAGAGTACTTATCCGACATTACATATTGTTAGAAAAACATTGTAGCGGATCTCGGGAATTGTTTCTGTTCGACGACATTGCTGTCAGAGATTGTCAAAGATGACGTCATGCATTAAGAAAGTTGATATGATAATATTGACAACAATTTTACGAATTCAAAGGAATTTCGGGAAATAAATAGTGCCAAAAAGCAATATGGGTTGTCCAAGCCACCTTCTTTTCATAATTAGAAGCATTTTGTAGCCATTATAGGCGTTATTCGTGAAATCATACATGATGTCATTTCAATTGAAGCAACAGGGTGCTATAGACAACTGTTCACTGCTGACACAACCTAGAGAAGCAATAGCTGATGGAAACCATATAATCACACAATTCTTGACCAACTACCTATTGAAAATCTTTGCCAATTTTTTTCTCTATCATGGACATTTTCCTTTTAATTCTCGACCAAATTATGACTGATCACAAAGAAACCACAAGCAACCTAATAGTTTGGAAGCCAAGAACAAGAAAGTCACAGTCGAGGGTGGTTAAACTTAGATTCTTCCATGACAATGGCATGTTTTATCACCTAGAACATTACACAATCGGGGATTAACAATCAAGCGATTATCCTAATAATCCCTGCCCAATGAAGAGGTCCTTAGACATCTTATCTTTCACAATTGTCTTTTAATTTTGATATATAATGAGTTGTTTCTGAAATAAATCAACATAAGCAACAAAATTGGTAGTTAAAAGAAAAGGGATTGAAGTGTTAATTACATTTCAACACATGAATACACGTAGACAAAAATATACATAATGCATCTGATCTCTAAGTCAGATTCTCAAACTCAGGGCAAACAAACTACAAATCAACTTGATATGTGATCCTTCTCATTTGAGCCTACTGTGATGTTGCTGCTGGTTCCATAAAACAATTGGTTTGATTTCTTGTTTGGCCACGAGTTGTTGCCCCAAATTCAAGCTTCTTAGAAAGATAAGCCTCGGGGGCATCTTCAGCAGTGGTGTAAGTGCCCAACCAAACACAGACTTTCTTGATGGGGTGCCAAATCTCAACAGCACCTGCCAGATGCTCTCTACCAAATCTCTTAGTATGGTTTTCTCAAATCCTTTTGTATGGTTTTCTTGGGTTTCAAACAAAAACTCTTTCAGGGTTCTTGTGGCCATTCTTGCTAAGTATAGGGGTGTAATCACGGTGATCAATCTTGTCAAAAAGAATTTCAGGGATAGTGTGCTTTGAGTCAAAAAGTTGTTCTTTGCCCTTACCTTCATTTGTGGAACAGTCTGTGGCAGCTGAATCAGAACAGATTTTGCTGCATACTTCGGAACTCTACTCTGCTGCTGCATTTATATTTTTCTCTCGTAGTTCACCATGAATGGGTGTTTGTTCTTAGCTGAAGTGTAAGCAAACAAATAAATCAATTTAGTAACCTTTCATGGATTAGTTTCTGGGAAGAGTTTTGTTTTGTGCCACAGATGATGATATACTTCAATTGTGGTGGTAATTATTTTTTGACCGACATAGTCAAGCCAAACATGAGACATTGTTGAGTGATGAGCTTTTATGACTGGGTGCATTAACGTACTCCCTGGTCAAATAATGCTTACATCTCTCCTTATTTTGTAGACAAAGAATGTGAGCTGCCTTTCTTGCACATGCTTTGACACGTACACAAGTCTTAAATTGAAGAATAGAGGTAGTATAGGTTTTGCAAATTATGTCATTTCGCTTCATTGGAGATGGCTCAATTAGATTTCAGTATATGCGTTTGTATAATATATCATTCTCTTTCCGTTCTTTTTTTTTCAGGAAGTATAATTTAATATTTTCCAATAGAAAGTGAAAATTTCCATGTTATTCCTTCTATTGCATTTAATTTACTCAATTTTGCACCAATTTCAGCAAGCCATTATGGGATGTTATAGCATATATAGTGTCCAATGTACCTCTGCCTACTCCTGGAAAGGATAGAGTCCTGTTTGCGATCGAGAATAGCCTGCTAGCTGTCGAGGTTCCACCAAAGGATGGGCTTCCTCATGCTGATGTATGTATACCTGTGTTTCTTTATTATTTTGCATGATTTAGGTTTTTGTTGGCATTTGTGGTACATTATTTGTTAAAAGTTGACCATTTCATCTTGTTAATTATCTACTCCAAAAGTTTTACCTGTTAGCGAGGATGTAACTTCAGGACTTATAGTTCAACACGCTCCTTCACGTGTAGGTTAGAATTTGGGCCTAGGACGTGAAAATCTTTTTAATTATCAGAGTGGCGACAAGATTCGAACACAGGACCTGCTGCTATGATACCATGTTAAACAACCATCTACTCCAAAAGTTTAAGTTGTTAGAAAGGGTGTAACTTAAGCATTTGTATTCAACACATCTTATAATCACATCTTGTTCACTTGATGCAGATATCATTTCAGCCACTGGTGCAATGCTTGGATGTTGACAACTTCATTAAACTATTTACAGCTGTGTTGATTGAGAGGAGGATTTTACTTCGATCGAACAAGTATTTTTCTCACTTAAGAGTATTAAAAGTGGGTTTAATTAATTTACAAGATTTTTTGCAATATTTTTGTTTTGAGCTGATTCCAACTTTATACTTGATGCATCTTTTATTGATCACTTTGTTCTAAGAAGTTACAAGCAACTTCTTATTGGCCTATAGAATTTCCTGATATGCTTCTATCAATTGTTAAGAATTCTCTTTTACGAGAAATGTAATTGTATCTATCTTGTTTTTGCCTTTTTCCCTTGGTAATTGCCAACAAAAATCAAAGGTTGTAGTTGTTTGTGATTAATATAAAAACTTAGTAATTTATGTAGAGATCACAACTACAAATATATTCGCAAGTCAAAACCACCAAAGATCAAAGGTTGTAGTTGTTTGTAATTATATAAAAACCTAGGCCTTAAAAAGGGTATAGGCAAACCTAGGCATTTGACTACGACTATAGGCAAATATGGGTAAGTCAAACATTTATTTTTTAGATATATGTCTTCAATATTGGAAATTTCCAAAATATACATTTGATAGAGTACTCTAAAAACATGGATATGTTTTGTTACCCTATGAAACCAAGGATGAAAAATTGCAATTCCCAAGTTTCTCTCTCTCTCCAACACACACATCCTTTCATTGTTCTATCCATACAGACATAGAAAACACACTCTCCTATTTTTCAGGAAAGTCTCAAACATCAAACTAATTAGGAACATAATTGTCAAATCGTGTATCGGAAGGCGTATCGTTTTTAAAAAATAGTGTATTGTATCGTAACGTGTATTGTGCATTGTAAGATATGCATAATTTTAATTTTTAAATAATTATTAATAAAATATATATATACCTTTGTAAAAAAGTCATAGACTTATAATAATATAACATTTCATTAATATTCCACTAACTATTCATGTTCCTAACATAGTTCAGTAATATAAAAATGCAAATACCATTAATTCAAACTTTTAACATCAATTGCTGGAACAATCTTAATATTAATAAAAAATTTTGAATTCAATTGGACAACATTAACAACAGACTTTATTTTATTTTTTTTAAACCATAACCATTGAAACAATGTTATTTCACTGGCTAGTGATTTAAAAATAAATTCTAAGGTAAAATAATGTCATTTCAGTCCCAAAAAATCAAAAATAAAAATAAAAATAAAAATAACAGAATCGTCATATATCTTGCATATCGGATCTATTGTATCGTACGTATCGTATTGTGTTTCGTATGATACGGTGCAAAAACGATACAGAGACATGATACATATAATTTTTTAGGTGTATCGTGATGTATCGTACGATACGTATCGCATATTGTAAGATACTAATAACTGTAATTAGGAAGTTAAGATAAAACACAGTTACAAAGATAAGGCCAAAGAAGGAAGGGTGATATCTTGAACTGTTACCCTTCAATTCATGCGCTGCTTATCAACAACAAAAGTTGTAGAAACTAAACATTCAAAAAGCCCTTTTTCACAACAAAACAACCCCCATCATTAAAAAATCTTTAAAGAAACAAAGCCCAAGTGACTTGAAATGAAAATAACCCTAGAAAATTAAAATCTTTAAATCTTCGTATTTTTTATGAAGAAAAAACTAACCTCAACAAATTTGTGTCTGTAATTGACTTACGATAGCCACGGTATTCGGTTTGCTTGCTTGTCCTTGCAGCTCCCTTATCTCTTTCTCTCTCTTGGATAACTTTCCAACTTCACAAATTCTTTCTCACAAATTCAGTATTAACCTACAAAAGTGAGAGCTCAATAATCAATTATAATTGGTTTTTTTTTTTTTTGGGCTAGTATTTTACCTAATAGACTTCTCATAGGCATTTCAACAAACACATCATGTGAACTGTTAAGATTGATGTCGGGTGGGGATGCGGTGGTGGCTGGGGAAAAAGAGGAAAGGAGTGTGGGGGTTCTAGCTTTGGTTGGTGGCGGTGGACAAAAATTAATAATAGCCCCCATTGACTGATGATTCACAACAATCTCCTATAGAGGTTGTAACCCAAGCACTCTTGCAAATTACCACAAAAGCAAGGAAGAAGAGCTCTGGGAATCACCAAATAGAGTTCTTCAACATTGGAGTAGATACCAATTTTGCCAATTCAGTGGGTTTCTGGTTGAGTTATAACAGTTTGAGAAACTGGTTTAGAATCCCCCCTCAAAATAATGATTTCACATAAAAACACAAAACGAACCAACCTGGCATTAATCAACATCTATATTTTGCAACAAGCAAACAATTAAATGACCTACCATTCTAGGAAATTGCAAAAGATAAACACATTGAGGCAAAACAAAAATCACACTACGAAGCAAATAAGAAAAAAATTTCAACTTATGGCCATACCTCTCGTCGGTTACTGTTGAAACATGCAAGCACAAATGACACTATGGCATCTATCGGTGAGAGAGAGAGAGAGAGAGAGAGAGAACTCAGAGAAAGAGAGAGGAGGCACGAGAGAGAAGGCAGGCGGCATATGTGGCTAAGAAACAAATAGAAAAACATGAATATTGAGAAATTCAAATGGACAAGAGACTTGACTTAATGGCCACCCAAGTTCCACTCTCATACTATGTTATTGCATCCAACTCAACAATTAAAGATGAGTGAAGAAGCCCCACAACCTATATAAACTAATCTTGGGTGGTCTTAGTTATTCGAAGTGGGATATTAACTCTATTTACACTTACACGTCAATGTGAAACTTTAGATAGTACTTAGGGCATTATCCAATATAAGATGTCCAACATATTATTTGATACCACCTATTTTGGAGCTTTATTATGTGCATAAGTTGATGACTTCTCCGGTCCTCGAGTAGTAATGCAACATTGGTCTTTTCATTTTAGTGGCTTTGTTTTGATGGATGAATTATTAATTTTTTTTTGTGGGACAATGAGATCATATATAAGTTGTTGCATCTTGTTTCCTCTGGTGGTTGAAATCTTTGTTGACCTAGGGAGAACTTATAGAAGTAGAAGCTTAAGAAAAAAAGAATTTGGCAAACTAATTAGTATACATGAAGATTTAACCAAGTGGTGTTCCCAGTTGAGTGAAATTGGGAAATTCTAATTTTTTTCCCTCTCAAATTCATATTTATTTTTTAGCTCCATTTATTATCTTTAAAAACAACAAAACATTTTGCTGGACTTGCTTTTGTTGTTTTGGTAAAATTTATTGATATCCAGAATGTTTAGTAGTCCCTTCCTCATTGAACGACTTTTTTTTGCTCTCTTATCCATTTGATCAAGTCCAAGATGTATTTTAGTGTGTATCTATTCCAAAGAACAATATTCATGTTGTGTATTGTTTTTTATAAGAAACATAACTTTAATTAAATTAGTAAAAGATTACAATAGAGTGGACCAGAAGTCCACCCAGATAAGAACAAAAAGAAAATACAAGGCAATACAAACTAAGGACATTAAAAATTAATCATCTAGCTATGTGCCACAGTCCAATTGATATTAAGGTGTGAGAGTCCACCAGTTGTCTTACCCTGGATGGTTGATCTTTCGAAGGAGGACTGGAAATTTTTTTGCATAATTGTTTAGGGGTGGATTTATAAAGATGGGATATATAAAAGGATATTCTAACTGGGTGGATGAATTGGACATGCTTCTAAGATCGAGTTTTACTAGTCAAATTATGAGACAGTCTTATTATATAATTGTGATTGCAACCATGCTTTTCAAAATATAATTGTTGTGAAGTATGCGCACAAGCTAACAATTGAATGAGGCATTGATTGGCTAATTGGATTATTGACAAGTTAAGATAGCATAACTAGGGGAAAAAAGAGTGGATGGATCTAGTGGAANTGAGAGAGAGAGAGAGAGAGAGAGAGAACTCAGAGAAAGAGAGAGGAGGCACGAGAGAGAAGGCAGGCGGCATATGTGGCTAAGAAACAAATAGAAAAACATGAATATTGAGAAATTCAAATGGACAAGAGACTTGACTTAATGGCCACCCAAGTTCCACTCTCATACTATGTTATTGCATCCAACTCAACAATTAAAGATGAGTGAAGAAGCCCCACAACCTATATAAACTAATCTTGGGTGGTCTTAGTTATTCGAAGTGGGATATTAACTCTATTTACACTTACACGTCAATGTGAAACTTTAGATAGTACTTAGGGCATTATCCAATATAAGATGTCCAACATATTATTTGATACCACCTATTTTGGAGCTTTATTATGTGCATAAGTTGATGACTTCTCCGGTCCTCGAGTAGTAATGCAACATTGGTCTTTTCATTTTAGTGGCTTTGTTTTGATGGATGAATTATTAATTTTTTTTTGTGGGACAATGAGATCATATATAAGTTGTTGCATCTTGTTTCCTCTGGTGGTTGAAATCTTTGTTGACCTAGGGAGAACTTATAGAAGTAGAAGCTTAAGAAAAAAAGAATTTGGCAAACTAATTAGTATACATGAAGATTTAACCAAGTGGTGTTCCCAGTTGAGTGAAATTGGGAAATTCTAATTTTTTTCCCTCTCAAATTCATATTTATTTTTTAGCTCCATTTATTATCTTTAAAAACAACAAAACATTTTGCTGGACTTGCTTTTGTTGTTTTGGTAAAATTTATTGATATCCAGAATGTTTAGTAGTCCCTTCCTCATTGAACGACTTTTTTTTGCTCTCTTATCCATTTGATCAAGTCCAAGATGTATTTTAGTGTGTATCTATTCCAAAGAACAATATTCATGTTGTGTATTGTTTTTTATAAGAAACATAACTTTAATTAAATTAGTAAAAGATTACAATAGAGTGGACCAGAAGTCCACCCAGATAAGAACAAAAAGAAAATACAAGGCAATACAAACTAAGGACATTAAAAATTAATCATCTAGCTATGTGCCACAGTCCAATTGATATTAAGGTGTGAGAGTCCACCAGTTGTCTTACCCTGGATGGTTGATCTTTCGAAGGAGGACTGGAAATTTTTTTGCATAATTGTTTAGGGGTGGATTTATAAAGATGGGATATATAAAAGGATATTCTAACTGGGTGGATGAATTGGACATGCTTCTAAGATCGAGTTTTACTAGTCAAATTATGAGACAGTCTTATTATATAATTGTGATTGCAACCATGCTTTTCAAAATATAATTGTTGTGAAGTATGCGCACAAGCTAACAATTGAATGAGGCATTGATTGGCTAATTGGATTATTGACAAGTTAAGATAGCATAACTAGGGGAAAAAAGAGTGGATGGATCTAGTGGAATTTGATGGGAGTCTGCAGAGATGATTTGATAATGTGCAGGACAACTAGCGTGGTTCAGATAATGGTGCTAGAGCACAAGGTTATGGGCTTTATGTTGTATGATATATCCCTTTGCTTTATTTGAGAATATAACATTGTTTTGTTGAGAAGAATTCTAGACTGTACTCATGTCATGAAGAATTCAATTAAGCTCACAGCAAATAAAGTCTTGTTACAATTATGTAGGGTCACTTGTTAATCATTTTGCAATCTTGATTGATTTGGGGCCATATTTCTATTGAAGTATACACTATCATGTATTTTTTACCATCTCATTCAATGTTCATTATTGTCTTCCCTCTTTCCCCAGTATTTGATTTAATGTGCATCATTTCACTCTTCCACAATTTTTGTAGTACATGGTCCAATCATTTTTGTTATGATGTCTTATATTATTCCCATTGGTGTGAGTTGTCACTTTGAGTTTTAATGATGGTATTTTATTTTTAATATACATCTTTTTTTACTTGGCATCCATCTCAATATCTGCATTTCAACCGGACTTATTTAATGATCATGGTATTCATCCGGCTAGTTTTCCATTCCATACTACTACTAAATCACACTGTTCTAGATCTCGACAAACTTCTAATCTGGCATTTACTTCTGCTTTGGATTCATTAACAAGAGCACTGTTGGGAAAGCATACTTGGAGGACCTCGGCTGAATGCATTTCCATCCTGTCATTTTGTTGTGTGTTTAATCTTGCCATTGTTACATTCTGCTGTCAGTTAATCTATAAATAATGCATTGTCCAACTTTTCCTGTCATTGTGGAAAACATCCACACTCGTAATTTGTCCCCAACTTATCTACCTTCAGTTTTTATCTTTTTGTTTGTGATTTTGATTCTGTTTTTTTCCCTCAACCTCTATTCTTGTCTCCTTTTGCAGTTATTTTTTTGGGCATTTGGGGTTATTGCTGGATCATATGGTATTATTTTGTTTTTGTTGTCGCGTATGTTAACTTGTCCATTAAATGATATATGCAGGTATTCTCTGTTAACTCTTGTATCAGAGGCTATTTGCCATTTAATTTATCCGTTTCGGTGGCAGGTAATTGTTTTGTAGCATGTCGATATAGTTCCTTTATTATTTCTGGAGCTTGAGTTTTGCCATTTTGTCATTGGTTTAATGCAAGGTGCGCTATGCATTACTAAAGCACTATTTGAGTCTTCCAATGAATGGTTATCTGATTTTTTGATGTTTGTTGTGCTGAAGCATGTCTACATTCCGTTACTATTTTTCAGTGGAGTAGACTATATTGATGCCCCTACTCCGTATATGATGGGTCTCCACTCTGGTGTTGATACTTCTGATCTGGTGATGGATGGTGTAAGTCTCCGAATATAAATTCTAATGTGTGGATCTGTGTTTTGAGTGAATACAATTTCTGTTTGTCCTCTTTTATGTATGTTTTTTTGATATACAACAGCCATTCATTAGACATTGTTTCATACAATTTCTGTAGAATGCTTATTCTATTTGACAGCTAAGAAACATCAAATTTTGATAGTTTAGGCATGCAACGATGCTCGAGCACCAATAACTATGCTGTTGAGGGAAACTTGTGCGGTCCACAGTGATGGTAATGTTCAGGGAAGGGAAGAAGTCCTAAGCAAGTAAAGGACAGAAACTACAGTGGATAAGTGCATCGTTTCTTGTTATCGGTTGCTGCTCTTCTTCTCTCCTAGGTAGAAGACTCGCGGATTCTTTCAACAAGCGGAAATTAGCTCTTTCATGCGCCTGGCAGACATATAGAATACATTCTTACCGGTTCTAGCTTATTATCTTCACTTCAAGTAGGAGGGAGAGAAGATACAAGTAAGACAAAACAGACTATCTTAAGATAGATTAGACACTATACACTAGAGTTAGATGGGAGAGGGGAGTCCCAACCAGAGGAATTAGGAATTTCGTAAAGTGATGTTGAGTCAACAATGAATGAGCAACTATTGATAGATAACTGCCACACAAGATGCTACTCTTATTGGAGGAGCAGTTTGATGCTAATGGGATAGAGGAGAAAGAAGAGAGTTGCAATCTATTACAAACTATTTTGTCTTGAGCTACCAAACGATGTAATGTACCTAAGATAATAAGACATACAAAAAAGTCACGTAACTTTCAGGTTATAGCTCAAGCTAGCACAAATAAGAAAAAATGAGATATAACCAGCTGGTTGTTCCAGGAAGCTAAGATGGCTGCTATGGACGAGCTGAGGAGAGAGCACGAACTGCTACCTATTCTCCTAAAGGGTGAATTTGTAAGATGCCCTCTTTTTATTTACCCGAAATTAACGTTTCTTTAGGCTGTAAAGAAAAAAACATGAAAGCTGGTAGTTTAATATAGGTGTACAAACTTTAGCGATGATGTTGTTGTCAAGTTACTTTAGCATTTTAGCATTCATGTGGTACTATTCATGTGTTATTATAGCTGTATAGTAACCTTATTCTTGAAGTCTTATTTATTTTTTTCTCGTCTACTATGTTGGCATGTTATAGGGTTGAGATTTCAAGTTTTTTGAAGGCTAGAGTTTATAGTTAGCAGGGTTTATGGTGTTATTTTTTATAGATAGTTCTTATGAGCAGCTTTGTACTAGAAGAATGTGCATAACCAAACCGAAGTAGTTAGTACAAGGCTTGTTGAGTTGGATTCAGTTTAGATCCTATATACTAGGTTTGTAGAAACCTGAAGCATTCATGAACTGAGGTCGCGCGAGTCCAAATGGGGTGGATTCGAGGCCTAGGTCGCTTCAATTCTTGCTTGTAACTCAAATTTCCAAATTGACTACAACCCTTTATTTTGATGATCTTTAAACCCATGTTTTGATTTGTTGTGATTTGAATTTTCTTTCGTAATACAAGTCTTGGATTATGATTTGCTTAGAAAGTTTTATCAAAACTTGAAATAAGTATTAGTCAATTATGTGTGCATGGATGCATAATTAATAAGTTCATATGATAACAAGAGTAATTCAGATGATTTATAAAACAAATCACTCAAAACAACTTACCAATTAAGTCTACTCTCATAGTACCACGTATCGAAGAAAGTATTGTACCATTTACACCTAACAGTACAACATACCAGATCGACCCACGATTTGAGTAATGTTGATTTAGATCCCTTGTATGAGAGCTGATGTAATTTTATCATCGAGGACAAAAATAATAGTACAAGGAGGGAGAATGAGGAATCCTTCCTCTCTGTCTATCAAGAGCTCATAATCAATTCTTTCAAATTGCCATTCCTTGGTCAGATGCACAATATATTTTTTTTCTACATTTTTGTGCCCTAGAAATGCCATATCCCATTCTTTTAGGTTAGAAAATGTCTATTCGATGTATTAGTTATCCAACTGTACATTAAAACGGATGCACATAATAATGTGCAAAAAACTTGTGCTTCCAACATCTTTTGTTATGCTTTGATACAAATATTTTTTATATCAACTGTATTTAGTTTTCTTATTGATTCGTTTGGGAAATCTGTGGAAGTAGAGTATGAACATCCATTTCTTTTTAAAGATAACTAAGTGAGATGGAGGTCTTTATTTGAAATGCTCCCTTTTTTTGGCAGTTGTCAGGTCTTGCTAGTTCATGCAATTTCAGTTAATTGAGTTTAACACCCCGAATCCCCTAGGTATGTTAGTTAATGGTCACTTATAACGGCCCTTGTCTCACGAGCAAGTTATTGATGTTACAAGTACAAACATGTCACTTCCTAGTTGGTGACTTTATTACATTAATTAATCAAAAGTTATAAACTTGGCGATTACATCTCATCACAAAGTGGAAGCAAAATTTTTACAAATTAACCTCACTTGGAGGGTTTCATAAAATGTTACAACTTAGCTGTGTAAACAATGTAGTGTTTAGTGAATCTAAACAAAGTAAATATGCTCAGCTCGGGTCCAGACCCCTCGTGACTAGTGTTTTCCACATACTACACTATACCATTGCAAAAGAGAACACAAATTTATAGGTTGGGCAATCACATGCTCAGTAGATTAATCAGATTCTGCGAATAAATATGGTTTGAAAATAACATAGTATTTCACAATGATTGAGATTTAAACATGCTTTCAAAGATATATCGCATATCATGAATTAAAATATCATGAATCAGGTATTCAATATCATGAATTAAAATATCTTAAAACCTAAGTGACCAAACAAGGGTCCTGATCATCAAGATCAATCAGATAAACCTTTTAGTGGGATTACACAAGGAAGATACGCTCACTACACTTCTCAGTGTCCAAGCTTGAAAGCCACCAGGCCACTAGAATCGATGAGACTCAATCAAACCTTTTTTGGTTTAAATCGCTGGCTCATGGGTCCTCTGCCATTCCATTATATGTGCATAATACTTTTTTGCAAAAGATCTCGATAATCAGTTTCTCAAAATGTAGCTCAAGGGCTCATCAAGTCAACTATTTAACAATTTGCCGCTCCGAAGGGCACCCACGCATTTGAGTTCAACCAACAGTATTCTCACCCAATCAAGTTAGCCAAGAACATTTATAAATCACTTTATAAAATAACATTGAATATGAAATTGAGTTTCAAAATTCAAGCCCATCGCAGAACTGTATAACCTACCACGGTCTTGACTCGGATGCTCGAACAACTGTCAAAAATCAAACAGTTTTAAACTTTTTAGTGGAGGATAAAAAATAAGCCCTAGAGACCTATTTAAATATATAAATATTTTAGTTTGGTGAAAAATTGCATTGATGGGTCAAATAGGTATTGACAAAGGGTAAAACGGTCACTTTTGGTACAATATGCAAATGGTTTCGGATTTTGATGAGCCACCTATCGTTAGAAAGCTCTTGAAAAGGGGTTGCAAAGCACCAACCATAGCCAAAAACAGAGCTTCCACACGATCTTATGCGCTGTTGGGAGTTGCTGCCGAAAACCCCTCCTCCTTTCTCTCCTTTTTTGACACCCTCTCTTTCTCTCTTGCATAACTCCCTCATTTTTTTTATCTAAATTGAGTGATAAAAAACCTAGTATCTCCTAACTTAGCCCTCTTTGAAACCTAAGACTTGGTTTTAGCTCCCGATGTGCAGTTTTGTACAGATTCAAGCTCAAAGTTGAGCTTATAGAAGGACAGACTTGCAAGTCAGGTTTTGACCCACCAAACGTCCAAATTTGTTTGAACCAAGGCCCAAAATGGATTCCTTGACCCCTAAAACATCGGTTATGGTCCTCTTTAAGCTTAAAACCAAGTTTTTCAAAGACTTATGAAAATCAACTTAAAGCTTAAACCTAGGGTTCGATGATTTTCCCAACTCTGGCCACGACAATGGCTGAAATTTGAACTATAGACTCCCTAAGCTACCGGAAAACTTACTCTCAAACAGTTTTGCAAACAGAGGTGTGTGTGCAGAGATCCAAGTTTGAGCTTCCAAGCTACTTCTCTCTCTTTTCTCTCTTCCAGCCTTATCTCTTTGTTCAATCTAATCCTTAGCAACCTCCTCACAGTATTTAAACCCCCAAGTAGCTGAGTCATGCCTTGCATGGCTTGAGAAACCTTGTGAAGACACCTGCACCTTGCTTGGTAGAAAAAGATTAGTGAGGGCATTTTCATAATTTCAGATTTTTGATTTTTTTTTTATTCCATCAACTTATTATTTAACTTAAAAGCACCACTTCTCCAAAAACCCGAAATTCCATCTAATTCTTGAATCGATTCGATTCGATTTTTTGTTTATCGGACAATTTTACCACTAGCGCATATCCGCTTGATTTTGCACCCACCAGCCACCACTTTGCTACACCTTTCCAAACACCACATAATCTATATCCACTCATTAATAACGTTGCAATTCCTCCATTTCCCCAATGTTCGATTTGCTAATTACATCGGACAATTTTGCCCTCAGTGCGTTTCCGTACGTTTACAAACCAAGTGTGTCATCTTAGCTCATCCAACACATCTTAGTTCAATGTTCAAACCCTTATTTCATATTAGCAAGTTCGGGTGCTACATCGAGTCTCTTTAGTTAGCTGAGGATCAGTTTGGTGAATGAAAGAATCTATTCGCTAGGGATTTTGTGTTTTTGTAGGATGCGGAAGATTGTTTGGTTACCACTGGGAAAAATGGATTCAAATAAATAATAAACATTGAAAAACAAGTACTTTTACTGAGAATTCAGGAAAAAAGGCCGCAAACAACATCAAATCCAAATCAATTTATTAGTGAACAGTCCTCAAATGAATCTCCCAGTCCCACACCCTCGATTTAGAGTGGAATTGCCTGGAGTTTATTGATCTCCACAGTTTATTGATCCCATGAATAACCACATATACTGGCTGTCACTTGTGGGTAACCGTTGATCACTTTTTGGATTTAGTTGGCTATCACTTGTGGTGAAAGCCTTGTGCACTCTGCTGCCCTTTTGTTTGGATTGTTGAACTGATATTCTTATATTGCATGTAGGTAGTTGTTGTGGACCTTGAGCATAATCGCATAACCACAACCGAGGAAATTCCAGCCGTGCCAGAGCCAGAACATAGTTCTTTGCGTGATGAGATAATGAAGTTATTGTATCCAAATGTTGTGGGGATAGACCAAATGAAAGCCAATCTTGGGAATTCATCTGAGCAACATCTAAGAGCTAGCATCAAGCCTTGGGGAGAAGATCATGACCTTCAACTTAGGTGATCCTTGGATGTGGCAGGAAGTCTTTTTGAAATATTCCTTGGTTTTTAGAGCTTATAGTTATTACTTCACCTTGGATATTAGAAACGAAACTTATGTATCTTGTCCCATGGATTTATTTTACTGTGCAGGTTTATATTCCTGAAGTTCTTTGCATCAGTGTTAGGTGGATACCGCAATTTCATGGTAGGAAATTTTGATTTCACATCCTTGTTTATTGGATGTTTCATAGTCCTAGAATAATGGTACATGAAACATCTTTGATGAGATTTTCCTTTGGCAGGAAAATACAGCAACTCATGTTTTCAACACTCAAGCATTTTTGAAGAAGCGCTCTCGGTCAACCAACCAACCTCTAGATCCCATGGTGATGCAATTTCATCTTTTTGACATTAAGTTTCAGCCATTACCATATATACAACCATTGTGGTTGTCAGGTTGATTTTGGAAGTCGATGATTTTTTCATTGGGATCCTTATCTGTAGATTGTCGTACATTTTCTTTTAACTTTATCATTAAAGAAATAGAAAATCATTTGGCACATTTATATGATGGACTTCTCTATGCTCAAGACAATCCTCTTTTTCAGTATAAGGCTCTATTTGTAACGCTTCTTAATTGTTTGAACTTTAACACTGCTTGAACTGAGATGTTTTTACCTTTTTTGATTCGACAGATAACACAGTTTTTTGACTCCCAAGGTTTCTTGGATTATTTAGAGAGAGGTCTAGGTTCTGAAGAAAACAATAACAGTCTTCTTGACAAATTACAAGATGCAATTGGGAGAGGTCAAAATCCTCTATCAATTCTTCCCTCGCTATCGACTGAGCCAGAGATCATAACTATATCTGATCCTGGTGTCGGAATGTCGGGTACTTTTGATGCTAGTCTTTACAAGATGTCACCATTTTGTCTTGTGGAGCCTAAAAAAGGCATTTCAAGTTGGTTGTAATACACATCTTATATTGTTCTCTGTCACCAACAGGATCTGGTGCCAAATATAGTTATGACAGGTTTCCTTCTAACATCAGAGCAGAAGAGCAGGAAGAGAAGAGGAAGCAGATTCTAGCAGCTGTAGTTGGTGCTGTTGAGTATTCAGGAAAGCAAACTCCTAGGTATGTGTGTGTGTGTGTGTGTACACACTAGCAATAATCTCATCCCTAAGACACTCTGGAATACCAAAAATTGAACACTGATTACAATGTTTATATTTTAATTAATAATTTATGATGAGCTCATATTTAGCTGGGTCCAAACCCAATTAATGAGATAGAATCTGCTAAAAGGAAGGTCAAGCCCAGCTCATGGTGTTCGGCCTAGTCCAAATATCAAGGAATCCAGGAATATTAGAGCACGTGGGGAGCAATCATCGGATAGCCTCTCTCCTAGATGAAGACTATACATAGTTGTAACTATCCTTAGTTGTAGTTATCCTTCCTGAAGCTAGTAACCTACCCAGCACGTCACCGCCTCAATTAAGGCTCTGTGCCTATAAATTATAAGCTCTCGCTATATGAGAGGACATCTCTTTACACACCTCTACATAGCTATTTCTCTCTCCTACCTAGCCAACTTCTCCTAGAGCTCACCTTTACTCTCTCCCTCTCTCATACATTACTTTATTCATAAAAGTCTTAGGCCACCGTTGCTGCCTTCGGAAGTGGAGTAGGTCCCTCTGATTGAACCACTATACATTTGTGTATTGACCAAATATTTATCTTTTTGCCATTCATTGCTTTGTTAATTGTTTCATTAATTCTCTTACATCATTCACTCGATTGTTGATTGTGCATAAGTCTACTTTGTGCATCATCAATTTATTTTTTATTTTCTTTTTTTCAAGTACGTAATTTAAAATTAAAGTTAATAGAGAGAAAATGAGAGAGAGGTAGCGTAGAGTGAAGAGAGAGGTAAGTGTGGATTAATGAGTTTGTTTGACATTGGAGAGTGTGTTGGTTGAGTTGTCTGACATTGGGAACTGTGTAGAAAAGATATATTTCTTGGAAAAAAGTTTTGAGAATGAATTTTGTACAATTGGATAAATGAAAATTGGACCAATCTTGACCGTTGTACTTTTATAAGTTCGGAATTCAACTTTTTAGTTGTAATATTAGATAAATATGATACTGACAGATTTAGATGTGCATGTATCTTCATACCAATGTAGTCTGATTATTCTATATGTTACTATACAGACTTTGCTTCTTCAGATTTTCCTAAATATGTTTTATTCTTCCATTTATTAGTTCCCCTTCTGTGCTTGTGGGTAATGACTCTAAAGCTCAAAGCCTCAGTCCGAGGGAGCGGGCTGTAAGTCCTGTTAACCATTGTTGTCATGCCACAATTGGTCTAATGATTGATTCGAAATTTATCATATATCAACGGTTTTCTGTGTCTTACAGGCTGAACGTGAGCGCATGGTGTTAGACATAAAAGTGAAGCTGCAGGTTAAACACTTCTAGAAAATTATGTCATTTGGTTCTATAATTGCACATGCTCAGTCCATCCATTTTGGCAATTTTGCATTTTGTAACATCCTCCTTCTAGAGTTAATTGAACTTGCAAATTGTTCTTAAGTTTTCATGCTTTCCTCTTCATTCCTTTTTTTGAAGGGAGAGGGCTCCCTCCGGCCCGTGTGGCGGGACGACCCAAGGGGAAAGGGGGTGGGGGCTTTAGCTTGTGTTGTTTGTTATAAGTGATGTCTTATCTTCAACATAAGAATGGTCTGTTGCCTTTTTTTTTTTTTTAAACCTATTTGTATGTTATGCCGAGGACATGAATCTACCAATAGAAATAGGCTTTGCTAGACTGGAATTTTAAGATCACAAGCAATGTTAATGAATATACCTTGATTTTAGTTGCAGCAGAAAAAGACATGCAGCAGATATTTGGTCATAGGTAGACTGCTATGTTTGGAGCAAAGTGATCATATATTTCCCTCATGTCATAGGTAACAGAAAGTGTACTCACCAAGATAGAGCATAGAGACACATACAACCCAAAACCACAGCCTCAAGGTCACAGAACTGTAGGAGAAGAAAAAAAAAACACGCGAAGATCCAATACACCTGAAAACTCACATATGGCAATAGGCATATTATTTTTTCTGAACTAGCGCCATGGTCTTAGCACTGGAAATGGTTGGCGGGCAACCCTGATTAGAAGAAACTCCTCCTTCAAGCTTATAACCTGAATTACTTCACTTGCCCTATGTGAATTACTATCCAAACCAGATTTTGACGTTCAACTTCCTTCCAATCTCATCTCCTTAATTGATTTCGGCCACACCATCCTCTTGGTGCCTAAGCACAAATCTGCCATTACAACTACCAGCTCAATTGTTTCCTCTTTTTGTAAGTGGATCTAAACCACTGAAGTGTCTCTTTTGATAGTGAAAGTGCGAGGATGGTGAAGTCTGAAGTTTCCTTATACACCAGATGACTCCTTATTTTTGTTTATTTGCATGTCATTGATTAGTGATTCCACATTTTGTGATATTACTAGGATCATATGTTCTTAGTCAACCACCTGCTATAGAATCTCGAAGTTGTTGGAAAAATGGGCCAGTATTTTATATGAAGCCCTTGATAGGCTCCGTCACATGTGGCCCACTCTCACAAGTGGAGAGACAAACACACGAACTTTTCTGAAGCATACACTTGATCAAAAGCTTTGATATCATATTAGACAACCAGCTCCTCCATGGTTCAAATTATCGGTCAATACCTTTATGATTTGGACTAGTCATATGAGCATTTCAAAGTTTTACCAGCATAGTTTGAATCATTGTCACCTAACCGGTTGATACCGTTTTCTGACATTGCGATCTTGCCTGAATCTATGATGATGTTAAACTTCTTCTTGTATGTAGTATTTTGTGTGTATCTCCCACTACTGTTTTGTGAATTTGAGACCGACGTCTCTAAATGCCCACTGAGTTGATGGCCAATGCTAGGACCTTGAATCATGTGCTCCTCTGAATACTTTAAATGTTATCTAGTAGGCCTAATATTGTATATCGATACTGCGGAAGGGAGGAGGGATCACTTGATCAAGGGGGAGTGGTTTCTAGATCTAGCGGTAACGGTCTTTTAATTGGCAATTAGAAGGCGAAATTTATTGTATTACTAAGTGGCTTTGGAGGTTTCCCATGAAAATAATTTTTTTGTAACATTTAGTTATCAAGAGGAAATATATGTTATATACTAATGAATTGGATGCTAATAGGGTTGAGAGGGGTAGTTTCCTATGTCCATTGAAATTTATTTCTCAAGATTGATGAGGTTTTCTTGGGATGTAATGTTTATGGTGGGTAATAGGGAAATAATTTGCTTTTAGGAGGATGTTTGGATGGGATAGAAATTTCATATTTTTTTCCTCGCCTCTATCATTTATCTCACTCTCATGGTTCTTCAGTTGCTTCTATGCTTCGATCGTATAATTATTTGTATTCTTTAGACTTTGGTTTTCGCAAAAATTTAGATGATAGATACATCATTGATTTGATATATGTGAATAATGAGTCATGTGATAAAAGAAGATAGATGCTTGATTTTTCGGGAGTCTTCTCATATAATTGTTCTTTGACTCTTTGTTGGATGAAGATTTTTGTTGTTTTTTATTCCTTTTTTGATGATTGTAAAATTAAAGTCCCTGTTAAAGTACAAATGTTTGTATGGACGGTTGTGCATAGTAAGATTAATACTATTGACACGCTTCCAAAAAGGAGGCCTTATATTTATATTTCCTCTCATTGGTATGTGGTGTGTAACAGTGATTTTGAGAGTATTGATCTTCTATGTTTACACTACCTAGTTCTTGATTTTGTGGTATCATTTGTTTCGATTGGAGGGATTGAGTTGGGGGATTCCTTCAAACATCAACTTCTTTGTTCGTTGAAGATTTTGAAAGTTTTGAGAAGATTTGATAAAGGTGTCACCTTTTAGAATTGTGCTCTGATGCTATCATCTCTACGTTGGAGGTTATTTGAAGGGGAATGAAACACTGGAATTTTTGAAGATCGGAACGAGTGTGTGGATGGGCTATGAGACCTTATTCATTTCTTAGCTTCTTTTTGAGCTTCGGTTTCAAAGAAATTTAGAGGAATTTCGATTTGCTATTTTAGCCGGATAGATAGCTTTATGTGATTTTTAAGTTTGGGGAGATTTGATTACGGTGTTACTCTTTGGAATTGTGCTATCAATGCTATGTTTGAGGTTATTTGGTGGGGAATAAAACATAAGAATTTTTGAAGATCAGAATGAGTGTGCGATGGACTATGGAACGTTATTCATTTCTCAGCATCTTTTTGGTTTTAGGGAAAAAAAGAGGAAGAGAAATTAAGAAAGAGATTACGAAATAATGTTGTGTAAGATGTGTGTTGCCAAATATTAGGAAAGTAGAACATAATAGAAAAGGGTCAAAATAGTAAAATAAGAAAGTAAATATCTAACGCTCCACCTAAAGTTAGAGCGTAGAGATAAAAAATGCCGAACTTGGAATAAAAGTTACTAAAGTTGGATTGCGCCGATGGTTTGTTTAGTAAGAATATCACCGAGCTGATCACTAGACTTTATATGAGAAGTGATAGTCTCCTTTCACTTAAGGGATCTTGAATAAAATGATAATCAACTTCAATGTGTTTGGTACACCGATAAAACAAAAGATTACTAGTAATAAAAATGGGTGTCCGGTTGTAACAATATATCTGCATACTAGATGACACATCAACACCTATCTCAAAAAGTAAATAAGTAACTCATAACATCTTACCATCAACAAATATACAATAACTAGAGATAGACCTTCTAACAACATGATTGCTCTTCCATTCAGTTAGCATAAAAAAATCCAATAATAGAGAAAAGGACAATGACTAATATACAACCCTCAACCGAGCTCTCCTTTCAGATACTCAAGAATATGACAAGCTATTGCCCAATGTGGTTTACGAGGAATATTGATAAATTGATTTATAACATCAATAACATAATTAATGTCAGGACGTGAAACTATGAGATAAATAAGCTTACCTACCAACCTCCGATTATGTCCCGTGTCTCCAAAATATCTACACTTTTAGTCCAATGTAACCATTGGATCCATCGAGGTATGAATTGAGTTTGCACCAATGGTACTAGTTTTAGATAGTAAGTCTAACACATACTTTTGTTGGCACAAACTAGGACTTTTCTGTGATTGGGGCTACTTCAATAAGTATCGAAGGAGGCCTAAGTCTTTGGTGTGAGACTGTCTTTTAAAATTGGTCTTAAAATGGGTAATATTAGCCGAGTTCCTTCCACTAATAACAATATCATCGACATATACAATAAGAAAAATTACACTTATGAATTTGTGGTGGATTTACTTGTCAACTCAAAATGATGTGAATTAAAGCACTGAAAGACATGTTGAAGTACAACCGCGCTAAATTTATCAAACCTAGCACGCGAGGATTGCTTCAGTTCATAAAATGCATTCTTCAGCTGACATACTGGCTGTTACTTACTAGAAACAACATATCATACTGGCTAAACCATAAATACCTACTCTTGTAGATTCTTATGTAACAACACATTCTTTGCATCCAGCTAATACTAAGGTAAATCTAAACTCATTGCAATAGAAAGAAAAATTCTAAGTTAAGATGACCAATAGGAGAAAAGGTCTCAGAATAATTCACAAATGTTTCATTGTAGTCTTTAGCAACCAACAACGCCTTTAATCGTTCAACAGAATGATCAGGAAGGTATTTCACAGTATACTCCTATTGGCAACTAATATATTACTTATTAGGAGATAATAGAACAAGGTCACATGTTTGATTCTTATGAAGGGTTTTTGTTTTTTCATCCATTGTCAATTTTCATCTAGGCGTATTTGAAAGAGAGGCACAAACAAAGAAAATAATATTGATGCAATATAACAAAAAGATGGGGAAAGCTAATGAAATGAGGCAAAATTGAAAACTGGATGTTGTGTATGGCTATGAGTAGCTTTTTCATAACGCAATGGATAAATCAGCAGGCAATGGAATAACAAGTGGCTCATGAGGCTAGTCCTCAGTAGAAATCGGTGTTGGCTGTGGAGTTAGAGCATTTGCCATGGAAGAGCAGACACTGATGGATAAGAAAGCTCAAAGTTTGGAATACTAGGCAACACAAGCTTCCCTCGACTAAGGGATACCAAATCTACAGCAATGTTATGACCTGACATAGAAAAGAAGGGAGATGACTAAAAGAAGGTAACATCGGTGTTGACATGGTAGCAACAAGAAATGGGATCATAGCAATCGATAACATTTCTAAGTACGAGAATATCCTAGAAAGATACACTTGATTCGTGACGTGCCAACTTATCACGATTAGAACCAAGAAGATAAACAAGGCAACACAACCAAAAAGACAAAGAGGTAAACTAAATGGTAGTGTATTAGGCTGTAGCAGGAAGAAATGAGATTTGTTGTTCATAATGGGGAAAGACATCCAATTAATAAAAATAAATCAAAGTAAGAACAGTATCAATTCTATACGGTTTTGGCACATGCATGTTAATCATTATGATGTGCACAATATCTAACAAATGTATGCTCAACGAGACCATTTTGTTTTGGAGGTATGTGGACAGATAATTTGATGGATAATGATACAATAAAGACAAAAAGTTATCATAAATGTTTGAATATACTCGAGGACATTGTCAGACTGAAGAACTTTAATGTATATATCTAATTAAATTAGAAGTTCATCAGAAAGAGTGGTTAAGACCTTCGGTCAGTTATCCTGAAACTCAAAAATACTTTTGATTCTTGCATGATTAGGAGGAAAAGAATTATGGTGATGTTTGCCTAATTGACAAGTCTTACAATCTGCTATAAAAGAAAAACTCAAATCAAGGGTAACTTGAGCCACTTCTTGAAGGAAAGATGACCCAATTGAAAGTGCCACCAGAGAGAAGACACAGTGACACTCAAAGCAGGAACAAAAACCTCTGGGAGTCAAGTAGTTAAGGCCATTGCTCTCATACTCCAAATCAACTTTACCTTGAGGTCTTGAAAAGCACAAGTAGATGGAGAAAAATATTACTAAATATCGTAAGGACTTAGTTAACTGATTCATAAATAACAAGTTTAAGAGAAAATTAGTAGCAAATGAACCAGAGGTTAATGACATAGACCGAGTAGGATGGAGATCGTTAGTCCCATATATTAGACGAATGAAAATTAAAGAATATGGATGAAATACAAGATATATGAGTACTAGCTCCTAAATTAATGATCCAAGAGGACAAAGAAGGTTAAGTAACAACACATGCGGAGACACCTTCATTAGCAAAATCGACAGAAACAGATAAATATGGAGAAAATAAAAATAATTGTTGGCTGTGCTAATTAAGCATGAAAGAAAAATCATGCAAGAGCCACAAGTAGGTGCAATCTGACCATCTGGAAAAATTCGATGCATTAGAAAATCCAATGTATCATCAGAAACATGATTGGCGTATACTGGTCTCCCATACATAACCCAAAAATAATCCTCAGTATTTTTGTGCCACCATAAAAAGTACACTTCTACGCAGAACGATTATCATGGCTAGAACGATGACCATGGTCTCCATGTCCAGTACATTGACCACCATGATAAATATTATGGGGTGGACAATGTCAGTCACCACGACCGCCATCACAACACCATTCAATTTTATTGAAGTGCTCTGTCTAGTTTGATCATCTATTGGATGACGTGTGACATCGTTAAATGTTGCCATTGAGAAGCCCTCAATTAATTGTTTGTTAAAGAGGAAGAGAATTGATATGAAATTCCATGAAAAATCAAAAATCTACCCACATGTCACAGATGCAGAAATCGATTCATGAACACACCCATAAACACATGACACAAATCATGTCTATGAGGACTCCAACAGTGGTGTAGCAACACAATGGGTAAGCCAAATTGTGCAACCTGAAGATTCACTTACAAATTAACCCAAACAAGTATGGATCACTCCAAGAAGGCTTCTTATGGCTGAGTCAAACACTAAAGATAGAATCGAGTAGAAAACAGACATAAACAGTGACTGCACAACACACAATGAAGCACTGAATTTCAAAAAAACCTAAAACCACTCTCAAACAACTCAAAGAAGCATGGGTCACTCTAAGAAAGTTGCCCAGAGCTTAGTCACACCATGTAGACTAGATTTGAAGCATCGAAAACTCTCGGATTCATCCAAACCGATAGATCAAAAGATCGACAAAAATATGGTTGAAAATCTTTCAAAATTAGGCTACTTAGTGAAGAAGGCTTCAAAAAATTTAGAAGAAATCAACATAATAAATTGCACAATAAGTCGGTCTTGGGTAGGGTTTTGCATGATGACATTAGCAGTTGTAGAAAAATTTCTAAATTCTAGCTTTCTTCTACCATATTTTCTTGATGGTTTCTTGCTTCAGATTCTTGCTCTGATACCAAGCTGAGACTTGCATAATTGAATATTAGGGTTTAGGAAAAGAAAAAGGTGAAGAATGAGAGAGGAAAGAAGAGATTATGAAATAATATTTTATATAGGATGTGTGTCTTTTACACTTTTATCACTTATTTATATTAGATTGATATTGAAGACAATTAGAATAATAGAAAAGTTGAACGGAATAGGAAAAATGACATAATAAAACGGTATCTCTGCATGAATCTTTTTTTCGCCATTATGCTCTATCAAGGCCATACTTTTTGTTAAACCATAATCTATCATATCTTTTTTTACTATTTCATTTAAAGTTAGTTTTGGTCATCTTCTACCTCCTCAATTACTGTCAATATCTATCACATCACTCTTCTAAGTATTGATATTTTTTGCGACATCTTTGTATGTATTTTGTGGTAATTAAATCTAGGTTTCATTTCTTTCTTATTTTGCATAATTAGCTTTTGAGAAAAATGTAGTCTGGTTGATGTTGTATTTTCTCTTGGCTTTTATTTCAAATGTTGTGGTTTGCATTGTAAACAGGGTTTATGGCTACGTCTTTTGAAGTTGGGAGCAACTGATGATCCTCTTTCATCATTTGAATACGGAACAATCCTTGGTATGCTTTAATGGAGTTCCTCACTGCCATCGATATTTTTTCAGGCGATTTCCACAAAAAAATGACAAATCCTTTATGTGATCATCTGTTGAAAATTTTGTGCATGTGAATGGTACAACAAAAATTCAAACTGACTGGCATTACCTGGGATACCTGTATTGCTTTCGCAGCGTTGATTGAGTCTGATGCAGAGGGGATTGGTGGTAGTGGCTTTGTTGAATGTATAAGAGAGCACATTCATTCTGTATGTAGCTCCAAGAGACATAAATTGGTTGATTTTTTTTTTTACTATGCACAGAGTGAGCTTATGAATTGTTTTTTTTTCCTCTCAGGGGTGGGCTGGTCAATTGACTGAGGAGCAGTTTATTGCGGTGAAAGAACTGGTTTGTTTATGCTTCACGAACTTGTCATATCAATGAGCACTTACTTTCATTTTAGGGATTCTCACTTTTGCCTAAATTTCACATGACAAAAAAGCTGCCTAGTTTTTTTCATTTTCCTTTTTCCTGTGAAAGTCAAACTATTCCTTTGTTGAAATAAGATTATATTTTTCTCCTGCATACACCGATTAAACTTTCAAGGATGTAGTGTATGAGGAATCTAAATCTACCTCCTTTATGTGACAAAATTTAATAAAAAATTGTGCAAATGTCTCATTGGAAGTTATGCACGATTTGTAGATTCATTTGTTTTTGTCCTCAGATATTCTTTTTATATTTGGGACGTCTTCCTTCTCTCCCCTCCAAAAATAAAAAAGAAAAGAAACGATATCATGTTCTCTTCTTTTATTCCATTTGGTAAAATTACAGCTCAAAACAGCAATCAGTCGGGCTACCTCTCGAAATGACATGGCAACTGTTAGAGATGCCCTTGAAGTGTCAGCCGAAATGTATAAGAAGGACACGAACAATGTTTCAGACTTTGTCCAGCGACATCTTCGTTCGCTTTCCATCTGGGAGGAGTTACGGTATGCATTTACAGTCGATTATACATATCTTTCCATTTGCTACATCTTCATTATGCTTTCCATCCTATCACGTTATGCTCTGTTACATTGTCTCCCTGGAAGGGGTTGCATGGGTGTCTATGTTTGTTACTAATAAATTACATATAGATTGATTAGTTTTGTGAAGACTTAATATCGTAGACCAAGGGGCTGATTGGGTATGCCGAAAATCAAAGTAGGTATTATTATTGTCTGAACTGTTGAGATCACTTCTGGATGACATTAAATGAATCTGCTAATTATTTTACTTTCTCAAATAAGAGCTATCCATTGCCAGGGTGATTTAGAAGATAGATCCTCATGTCAATGTTGTCAACATCATCACCGTCATTATCATCTTCTCCTCATCCTACTCCTCCTCCTTCCTTCAGCTTATGATACATGAAGAGAGATTGTGCCATGAACTTTATACCACTGATGGCTATGAAATGAAGGAAGCCATCTTCTATATGAAATCTCCAGAACCACCTCCCATTTTGTCTGATTCATATTTTCCAGCATTCTCGTAATTCCTCGTATTTCTATGTTTCCGTTTTTCTTCATAAATCCTCCTGGGAAACTCAATTTTGTCATTGGAAATGCGAGTTTGCCAACCTTTTTGGTGGTTTTGACTCGATTGATCAAGAAATTGAGGTTTCTTTTCTACATTAGCTTTATAGAATGTTTACTACTTTTCATTGGTACCATAAGTGGGATTCTACAGTGTTCAGATGTGCTCAACATTCCTCTGAAGCAAAATTCTAAAGCTGCTCAACTACCCTAGTGGCTTCTTCTGCAACCACATGAAACATAACGTCCCATCTCACTTTCTTCAAACTTAAAATCTCTCAATATTTTTTCAACCTAGCTGCCAGCCTCCGAGTATCCAGCCACTTTGAAACTGTGTAAACTGTTCAAATCATGGTTATTAAACTTACATCTTTCCATTTCTTTATCCAGGAACTTTCAAATCTTCTTTCTGTTGATCTAGTCCTGCCTGATTCATGTGCCTGCTGAGAACTTGTAGCAGGCTTCTTATCTGAACATGAGATACCTTTTTGCTCTCTATCTTTGTTGAGCTTTAAATGGTTCTCTCACTGGCTTTCATGGTGGGTTTTGTTTCGCCACCTTAGAGGACCGTTTCAAAACCAGCCCGCTTTGAGACATGGTTTTTATGCTCCAACGTTGTAATCACGCTTTCCTTGAGTCATTTCCTGGAGCAGGGATTTCTCGAAGTAGAAATCTTGTGGTTGTAGGCAGTCTTGAATATATTCGCTTTACTGAAATATAGAACAGGACACTGGCTTAGGAGAGAGGAAGGGCAGAGGAATTTAGAAAAGGTGCACAATGACAAAGTTGTGTTGAGTTCTGTTCAAAGATGGCTTAATTGAATGACGAATACAAATGAAATGCCCTATTTCTAAGGTTCATGTTGGTTAGAGTAAGTTTATTACTCGGTGTTTATTTCATTAATTTCCAGTAGCTAGTAGAAGGTGGGAATGTTCTGATCTAATGTTCACTCACATCTAATGCATTGTTGTTTTTGGTGAACTCTTGCTCCGTTAATTGAAAATATGGGCCAAGTCAGGTGGGTTGGCGGGTTGAGATGTCAACTGATGCCAAACACAGGATATGGATCCCTCATCCTCAGATAAACCCAACCTGTTAGATTTACCTGAAAATTAATTGAAAAATCACATTGAGTTCTGTTCAAAGATAGCTTAATTGGATGACAAATATACATGCCCTATTTCTACGACTCATGTTGGTTGGACTAATTCTATGTTGTTATGTTTGTTTCGTTGTTTAATAGGAGCTAGTGGAAGATGGGAACATTCTGCTCTAATGTTTACTTGTTTTTGGTGTGCTCTTACTCCCTAATTGAAAATAGAGTGCAAGTTGGGTGGGTTGGCCTGGATACTAAATACGACCTCATCCCAAGATAAACCCAACTTCAGCTTCAACCTTAATATTGTCCATTGAGATTCTTGAATTGGGGTTGAACTCAGGTTACATAATACTGGCCAAAATTTGGGTTAAATTGAATTTCCTAATACACTGCATCCACTGGTTTCAGTGTGACCACCAAAAAGACCCCCATTCAAATGAAAATCATAAGTAAGAATGAATCAAACTTGTCATAAAACTTGTTCATAAACCCACCTAATAATCTACCAAATATTCTCCCAAAGATCTGCCCCAAAATTTACCAAAAAAAATTGTAGGAAAATCTTTCCTAAATATATCAAAAAATCTGCCCACAAGATATGCTTAAAAATTTGTCGAAAATTCAATCAAAGAGTTGCCACAAAATCTGTAAATCAATGCCCAATTTACCACCCAAGTCAACAACTAATAAGACATTACACACCTCAATGCCAGGGTACCACCGCCACCAATCTAACATGACCACATGGATGGCACGGCACCTGGGAAAGAAACTGAGAGAAAGATTGATTGATGGTGCATACCTGTGAATGAGGAGATGGTGCAGATGTGAGACAATGATCGTGAGAGTCCTATATATATATATACACACACACCTAGTGAATTAGAAAGAGGCACACCAAGACTAGTAATTAATTATAAGTCTTTAAATTTTGTATTGGAATGGATCAGGTACCCAATTCCTAATAAGTAGGATTTAATCAAAAGACTTAGTAATGTAGTAATCTTTACAAAATTTGATATGAAAAGTGGCTTCTGGCAGATCATCATATCCCCAGAAGACAGATATAAAACTGTATTTATAACACCTTTTGAACATTATGACAAGATGCGGAAGTCATTAATATAAAAGGAGAATCACAAGCTGTAATTATAAGAAAATGAGATGTTTTAACTAAAAATTTCTTTATATTTACCAAATAAAAAAATTACAATGCAAGAAATAAAATACTTACAACACTCGTACTAGTGGAAGTGAGTTATTAGGGATAGGGTTCTGCTTCTTTATTTTCATCATTATGAAGATCAGAGATACAATTGAGAGAAGGGAAGACAAGTGTATACTGACTTGTAATATCTTTGTTAAAACAAAGTTTATCTTGCTGGTGAAGACTGAAGCCCTTATATAGGAGTAAGGAGCCTTCAGAGAGAATCTTGGAATGATTTCCTTTTTGACCAACTTTGTTGCTTTTACTAAAGGTAAAATGCTTTCACTTTAGCTTTTGGTGGAAAAGTAGGAGTGAAATGCCTTTTACTCGGGTAACTTTTGACTAATGCAAGTATGGACCTTTGCTGCTGACTAAAAGAATCTACTTTTCGGTGGGAAAAGCAGATTGGATGCTGATGGTTGACTGCTTTTCTGGAGAAAAGAGCCTGACTTTACTATACGATATAATATCATTACAAGTGACAAACAACTTTTCTCTCTTTTGAGAGTGGTGATTGAAGCTATCACATGTAAGGATAAAAATCAAGGAGTAGTGATGTCGGCTAAGTCATCATATCCTGCAAAAGGATCTTGGCTATCTTGAAACGGATCCAAGGAAGGTGTGACTGATGCCTGGGAAGATACATAAGAATTGCTCTCACTGGCTGCTTGTTGAAGAAACTTCAGTGCTAACTCAATGATTTTAAATGTCTTCTTCTTGGATTGTTTACTGGAATCCTTGGAAGAGAATTTTTTCTGCTTTACTAAGGATGGCTGTGTCGATGATTCTGTAGGGGCAAAAATCTTGAGGGACGACATAACCTGTTTGACTGGGGTTGTCGGAGCATGAGTGGATGTTCCTGTGACCATTACTGGAGTAGGAACCTTTATTGGAAACTCTTGTCGTACCTGTTCAATGCGTTGATGCTGGAACTTGGGCCACAATTTAACGCGAAATTGTCTGATAACATAATTTGGTACAATATCCTATTTTCAATTGCATATCCATGAGACTTTATATTTTTTCATAAAAATTAAAAGATGAGGAAACTAAGACTCATGTTTAATAGGTTTATAAGCAGATGAGAAATAGGTCACCAACATTCTAGTATCTCTAGAAGGGATAGAGAAATAATTAGTGAATTAGAAAGAAAATTTAAGTTAAAAAGAATTGATAATTCCACCTCATAAATTAGTAGACCATGTTACACTCCACATCAGAGTGTCTCACAACCCAGTCCTAGGGATGAAGAGGAAGAAGGTGATTTCACCTCTTCACCTGCAGCCAGTGATTTACGGAGTACTGCTCTAGTAAATCACCAGTTACTCATGATTAAGAAAGAAAATGGTTTGTTCTTACCTAACATGATAGCATTAGGAAAAGAATTCAAGTCTAAGGAAAATGAATCCAAAAGACAGGAGTACTTTAAAAGATTCAATAGTTACCAACAAAAAGAAATAATGAAACAATGGGTTTAAGTTAATGCATAAAATGGAATATGAAATTTCATTTTTTGATTACTGGAAACCTATCACAAAGAAGTAAATGTGATAACAAAACATAAGTGGAAAACCTCTAGTAATTCCACAATATCTTCTAGTCACCCTCCAGTTGAAGCTATAGTATTTAATCACTTGGATAATGAAGTTACAGCCTCACCCTTTAAGATTCTAGCCAATGAATCTAATAAACAGGTAATTGAGCAAAATAACTTCACCAACCAAAGTCTAATAACCATAGGAAAACAGCTAGATAAAATAGAAAAAAAAATTGATGAAATTAGGCCATCTTCAAGTAAAAAATTGGAGAAACCTTTAATCAACCTACCTAAAAGATAGAACTAATTTAGGATTAAAAGATAAGCAAAATCTTCACAGAATTGAAGAACTTATCCATAAAATGGAATCCAAATCGGGACCATCCAAGTAATTATTATCAATCAAACTTCTGATAATTCAGAAACCAGCAGTTGAGAAAGCTCAATTGATTCTGAAATCAAAAAATTAGAAGAACAGTTTGATAATCAACACATTAATAAATTAACTTTTTCAAAAGTTAATCCAACCAGTACTAGTAAGAATTGGTACCCCAAACCAAGTCCCCTTGATCTTAAATTTGAAGAAAAAAATGTTAGTAATCAGTTTTCAATTTAATCCAACAAACTCTATGAATGGAACATAGATGGGTTGAGTGAACCAGAAATTCTTAACAAAATCAGTCACTTATCCTTGGTTGCCAATTTTTATGTCTTAAATCTTGACCATACTGAACTAGAATTAGTTGACATGATCATTTCTGGATTTACAGGTGTATTAAGAAATTGGTGGGATAACTACCTTACACAAGAATTAAGAGACAGTATCAAATATGCTTTTATTCTTGATGATGAAGGTATACTAGTTTTGACGAAAGAATTGGTAAAGCCAAAGATGATAGGATTAACACTCTCATCTTCACAGTAATCAAACATTTTGTTGGCACATCCAGTAACATAGAAGTTAGGATCCATGACCAGCTTAGTAACCTTAGGTGCCCAACACTTACTGATTTCAGATGGTACAAAGATGTATTCATCTCAAGAGTTATGCTCAGACCAGACTGTGATAAATCTTTCTGGAAGGAAAAATTTGTCAATGGTCTACCTAATCTTTTTGCCCATAAGATTAGAGAAGCACTTAGTAAAGAAATTGGAATCATTGAATATGATTCATTAACTTACGGTGATCTTGTTAGTACAATCAAAAAAGAAGGTATGCGGATGTGTATTGACATGAAAATTAGTAAACAATTAAAAGATGAAAAGAAAAAGACTAAGTATGAAATGAGTGATTTTTGTGAACAATATGGTCTCCCTTCAGTAGCACCATCACGCAGAAAACTCAAGTCACACAAGCCTTATAATCATAGTAAAAGTTACTACAAACAAAGTAAAAAGACTTTTAGTAAACCTACATATTACGAGAAATTTAGTAAAAAACTCAAGAAACTTTACAAGCGTAAAACTTATAAGAAAAAATTAGGGAAAATAGTTAGTAAAAAGGATAAAGAAGTTAAGTGTTACTATTGTGGCAAGAAAGGCCTTATCAGCCCAGATTGTCCACTTAAAAAAATAAGTTAAAAGATTAAATTTAACCCAAAAAGATGAAGAAATTCTCAATATTTTTAGGTTAAATAATCTTTACCACAGTGAAGAACGTTCAAATTACTTAAGTAGTTCTGAAAATTCTTCTGATTACCAGTCGGCCTCTAGTAACCCTAGTGAACCTCGTATTAAGATAGGATGCAAGGATAGTTGTTATAAAAGAGTTAGAGTAATAACCAAACAAAATGAGGAAGAACATGTCCTCATTGAGTTAATTAGTAAAATTGAAGGCTCAGAGTTAAAAGTAAAATACATTAAAAAATTAAAAGATTTGTTTGCCAAAAAAGACATAAAACAATCTTTTAATCAAAAACAGTTAATTAGTCTTAACAAAACAATGGAAAGATTTAGTAAGGAGAAAAAAAAAGAAGTCAACTTGCAAGATCTTCAACAAGAAGTTAATAAGTTAAAATCTGAGATAAAAGATTTAAAAACTCAAGACAAAAAACTTGCAGAAACTTTAAG